GATGCCCGCGTAATCGCCATTTTCGGCCCTCCACATGGAAGAAGATCCACAAAACGACCACATATAAATTATGTTATGAAATAATCAGCGGCACGTTTTTGCCTGTCTTTGTCACCCATGCGTCAGCAAGGAGGGAAACCAGGTGAATCAATCAGTTCGTCATTCGGGGAAAACAGTTTCCAAGATCAATACGTGTTAATAGCGATTATTAGCGGAACACAGGCCAACCTGTTCGGAGTGCGCCATGCAGTTGACTCGCAGATGCATTGCAATGCTTACAAATCCCGCATCATTATTTATCCAAATTTTTACCAGTTTACAATTTGCATGAAGGGGAATCCCAGTTATTTGAAAAGAGGTTTTAGGAAATAATCCTTGCAATCATTGCGTTTATGACAGGCGGTGTGAGTAATTTTGGTCCTAGAAGGGTTTTTCAAGAGCGCTTCTACAGACGTAGCACTGAGCTACACGCTATTCCTTTTGGAGGTCGCAAATAATATTATTTTATTATTATAGCGATGTTGTTATGTTTTCGACAGGTTACCTGAGGTGTCAATCAATAAGTGTGGAGGATTTCAAATTCCTTCCAAGTGTTTCTAAAAAGCTTTCTGAAATGAGGACATTGAAGTAGTGAAGTGATGATGACTGCTATACCCACTTTGTATTTTTTCGTGGTCTTTCTTTTATCCTTTCTTTCTTTCTCGACCGCTGTACCCGGCCCAGATCAGCAGGTCGCACATCTTTACAGCTTCTTTGCTTCGGGCAGATCTGAGCCGCTGTTGGAAGACAACTTTACGAGAGGCTCAGCCATTGGGTGAACAGCCTGCCATGACCTTGATTTTTTCGGAATAACGGCCGAAAAGTGACCAATTCTGAGAGGTAGTTTGAATTTTTGGTCCATATTTTATGAAAACAATGCCCCATACGAGGAACAATGGTTCCAAAAGAACCCACATTTGCGTAACGTCACCCAATCCATAGATATTGTTTCTATATGTCACGTATTACCGATATCGGGAATATATAAGGGAAGCGGGTGAAGGGGTGGCAAGCCGTGCATTGCGCTGGATTTTTAGCTAAACACTCACCCTCTGAGCGCTAATCTCTACCCTTCCTCTTGCTTAATCGTCTTTTCTTCCTCAATCCCACTACATTATCCTATTATAAAAACTAGTCTTACAGGATGAAACTACTTATACTCCTCCTCTTTGCTGCTACAGCGGCTCATGCATGGGAAGAGATTTTCCATCCACCATTCCTGAAGGGTCTCAGACGGACTGCTCGAGACGAGTACTATAAAATCCTTTTCAACAAATCATTGACAATGGCTCAGCAGGAGAAGCGGATCATTGCCTGGGCAAAGAAACATCACGTTGAGGTATGTGAATAGCCCTGCTCTCGAAATTCGAGAAAACGGTGCGGTATTTTAGAGACAAGCACTCGCTTTCTTCACTAAGAAGGCGCAGCACATGGAAGAAATGACGCGGAAATTCACGATGCTGATCAATGAATTGCCAAAAGCTGTCGCACATCTGACCAAAATAATAGGGAACAAAAAACAGACGTTCCTAGAAATGATGAAGACCATACACGAGTTGAAGGCCAAAAATCCAGTGGTGAGAAGGCTTCTATGTTGAACTGTGGCTTTAGAGCCACCAAAGATTAGGATTCTTTGATTTGCTTTGGCTAAGAATTAGAAAGCGATTCAACATTTTTCAGGTTTACAGAATTCTGAAGTTTGCCATGGAAGAGTTTATGCATGAGCATGGTGCACACGACCATCCTTTTCGTCTACCTGATCCACCATTCCCACCACATGATGGTCCTCTACCTTGGCACGGAACCTGGGCAAGCCATATGGGAGAGGAAGGAGGCCTCCAGGTGGATGGCCCAATGGGAGGACAAATTGGTGGATGCTCACGGTGGATGGCCAATGGGAGGAGAAAATGACGGCCATTTTCCCGGTGGATGGCCTAGGAGAGGACAAAACGGTGGACCTTCCGGTGGATGGCCGATGGGAGAAGAAGACCAAAGAGGTTCATTTGGTCCATGGCAGAAGAGGCGCTTCGGTGGATTCCATCCAAATGGCCCGGAAGAGTTCGGACCAGGTCGAAGTACGTGTAAAATACCAGAGTGTTAACGTTGCTGTGACAAGTTTCTTTTGTACCTGTTGTGTATCCGACAAACTAACCTATCACTGGTGTGTTTCAGGATTCTGAGAAGGCGGTATCAGTGCGGCAAAGGATAGTTTAGCATGTGATTGCTAAACCCTCAACTGGCCAGCTGCGAACTGATTATTCAACACAATAAAATTTCAAAAATGTACCATACTTTGTTCCTCTTACTAAGAACAGTATTTTTGCTTCTGTGCCAAGCAGGCTTGCATGGTGGAATCTTTATTCAGCCTATCGTTTCGACGAATTCGTCGTTATCAAAGGTCTGAATGCAGAAACTTCAAGTGTTACCTATCCGTTCAACACAATTGCGCATGCAGCGAGTATTACCCATGTTTATCAATTAGAGAGTGGGAATCCCAACAAGGTTGCTCATCACAACTCCACCAGTGCCGATAATCGCTCAGACTCCGTCAGTGACTCGAAAAATCAGTAGAATAAATGAGACCAAGCAGTCGTGCACTGCTTATAAGGAGTTTACGTGCAGTGCATACGTTCTCATATCATAGCTCGCAGAGAGGGATATAGGGCAAGAAGTCGGCAGTTATGGAGATGCATTCATTTCTGTTGTTCATGCATGGATTGCGTTGCCTTATATAGAAAGCTTCAAGAGGTCTTTCTTGCACCGATATCGTTTTCGTAAGCTAGATATCGTGCACTTGACATATAAATCATTGCCAGCATGACTTTAGCTTCTCTGCTTACCAAGAGATGCATTCTCATCGATTGCTCCATAGCTCGGTAAGTAGCGGGTTTCTCCATAGATGGTATGGTTCCTCAATGATCCCGTGAATATCCTAATTTCCGGTAGATAAGCTGCGCAACTATCATGTAAACTTCTCCGCTCGTGCAGTGTAATTTTGTACACCTTAGAAACTACCGTAAATTTGCCTATAGAGGTAATTCGATGCCCTGATTACGAAAATGATTTTTTATTGGTGGCGCCATCTGGCGCCAGTTGGCGTCACCTTGTCACGACACCTGTTTTCACCAAATTTGGTGGGCGCCATCGCTAAAAACGAATGTCGTTTCGTAATCAGCATATCGAATTACCCTATGAGCAAATTACGGTTGTCTTTAGTTGTATGCAAGTACATCAGATGAGGTGTTTTTACGTGAAAACGGCCCGGGCTTGTCTATTGGAAATTAGGGTAAATGGGGAAAATGGGGAAGAGATAGCTTAGGAGTTTCTGAAATTTCGACACACATTCGGCAGACATCCTTCTGGTCCTATGATCGACTAGAACGCTCTGAAAACAGCACTACAAATTTGCACTGAATGGCCCGACAAACATTTGCGTGCAGGACTGACAAGCATTACAACACAGATAGCTTTCTGAATAAAAGTCGGGTGCATGGCTGATCGAGAAGTAGTGGCGAATACCGACTCCTTCTTCACATTTCATGTTTGGGTGAACACTTATCCTCACATGTTCGACCGATTTTCTATAGCTCTCTGAGGCATCAATAGGGGAAAACGGCGCCGATGTGGTCCTATTTTTTCACCATGCCTTTAGAAAGGTTCTACCTGTTAACTAAACCTCACTGGCAAATAAGGTAAATAGAAACAACCATTAACTAGACCTAAAACATGACTGTGGCTGTGAACTGTTTTCTGCGGAATACTACCAAAACAGCTGCTCAGAAATCTAATGGTTTTGCGAGAGTCATAAGCGCTTAGCCAACTGCTGTTCGAATGATTTGGAATCACAAATGCCAACAATTTTTCATGTGTTCAATACAGAACTTTGCTGGGGCTATCCGACGGTGAGGGTGGCTGAATGTGTCGGATCGGACCAGATCCAACCGTCCATCGAGGGGTATTTGTACTTAGGTTTCTGAAGGTGGTCGCAACTGGGAACGACAAAGAATGTCAACTGCAGAGAACATCTGAGCAGATACGGAATCCCCTTTCCTCTCTTCATGCCGTCCTTCTCCACCGATAGGCAGGCTAGTTCCCAGACCAGGTCAGCTTCCATACCATTCTGGGAGGAGACGGAGAGCGCCATGTCGTGGTAAATGTGTACTATAAGAACAACCATAGTTGAGTAGGGGATGAGGAGCCATAGTAGTAGTATTATTTTTTATCAACATCACAGTTTGGCATAGTGTGAATCTCCAAGTGCTATGAATGCGACCGATCTGAACCACTGCTCTCTGGCCAATCAAAGCGACAATTGCATCATTCAATCGGTTGGTCTAACAATTTTAGGATATTTTGTTAGCCTTTGCGTCAGGTAAACATGGAACTCGATCTGGTCCCCAACTGAAACTTGCGCTCAACGCAAATATCCGCTGGAAGGTTATGTAACAGGTTGATCTGTGATCTCAGCGTTAGCGAAGTGGCGTTCATGCACTCTCTACGGAGCAATGTTGATCGTCAATGCACTCATTGCTCTGGGACTCGTCGTCTCAGTACCGCCGTCGAATGCTGCGTTATTCGCAGTGAGTTGAGCGATTTAATCCCCCTATTTTTATTTGCTCATTCTTGAGCTTTTATCTATACTTTTGTGTTCTAAGTAAATAAAGAACATTTTCATCACAATTCTAGATAGAGGCATATTTGGGCATTGACTATGTGGGGTCCTGCGTTCGACCCACTTGAATAAACATATGACTCGATAAATAAATAAACAATAACCCTCAACTTGTCTACAATATTTGAAAAAGCAGAAAGCCGTTGAGAACTTTGAAAAGGAGAATTCTACGATATGGTCGGAGGTCCAAGGAGGAGAAGCACATCTCTGAGGAAGGCAGACGGCCCCTAATTGAATGGGACAATGCGTTTTTCCTTCGTCCAAAGGCCCCCAGCAGTCTACCAGGGCCACATACGCTCACGGCGCTCCCTGGCCGCAGACTCTAGCCGCCTAACGAGAGAGAGCGTCTAGTGTAATAGTCAGACAGGTGAGACAAAGTTTGATACGGCGATATCAGGCGTGCAAAATAAGGTCTTATTTCTCAGGTCTTAAAGGTTTCCTTGGTTTTTCTCCATCCTGGCATCTCTGACCGCCTCTACGACGTAAGCAAACCAGCCCTTTTGGCGCTCGGCTGGGACCGTATGCTGAATGTTGGGGAGGGGATGGAGTCCCCGACGGTGGACGGACCACTTCAACTCGGTCCTTAGAACCGCCACAATTTGGTGCTTACCTCAGAACTAAGCCTTAAAGAGAGGACGGGTCCGTCCCCTCTCCAAGGCTTAGTCCTGGGTGAGCAAACCGGTCCTTCTGGCGAAGCTGCTGGACCAGCTGCACCACTTGCGTCAGTACTCTCCTATCGTACCAACCGAGTTGAAGTAAACCGTCGACCGTTGGGGACCCCATCCCCTCCCCAACATTCAGCATACGGTCCCAGCCGATGTGCCAAAAGGGCTGGTTTGCTTACGTCGCCTTGCTACGCCTGAACTTCGTATAGCTGTCTGCTTCTACTCGAACTCTGCTCTTTAAGACATCTGACGGCGCGCTGTTTGCATGGGTAGAGTTTGCGCCACAACGGTAGTATCCTGGCAAGCCGTTCCGTTGATACTGTGAAATACGGCAAAGACACGTGGGCAAATGAGGCACGGCCCGGCGCGCAGCCTTCGCTCATACTATCAGTGCGCATTGTTTCAGCATTTTTTACCCTCTTTCATCGTTGGTGGACCTATAATCACAACTACTTACATTTGTATACGCAGCCACCTGAACCCATTCAAAGATGGAAAACGTTCTTTAATAATGTAAACTAGCTTGTCGTTGCTCTTTCCCCCCCCCCCCCCTCCCTTACGCCACATTACGATCTTATCACTTTCATGGGATGCGTGATCAATCAAAGCATGATGCTTGCTGAAATGATAGAGGCTATCAGCATAACATGTGCAAACGACCTCCTAATTGGTTGCTAGCTCGTCCATTATCGGAGGTCAACGGGCAAAGATAGGGGTCCCATTTTGCGCGGCGAAGCTGGAGTGCTTAATTCCGCGAGTTGCGCCATATCGAGCGTCATCGGTGGTTTCTTTTTTTTGGTTCTTTTTTCAGATTCACTTTCCCACCCTCCGCCCTCCCCCCCTCTCTTCAACAGTAGAACCGCTCTCCCACATCTATTTTGTTCCTGAGGCTTGCCTTCAACGCAGAACACAAAAGAAACCCCAGCCAAAATTGGAGTTCAATGTCATTTTTAGGTGTTCAAAAGTAGAAAACCACAATGGAGAGCTAACTGTTAAACTGATATAATTGCTAAATTCTAGTTGCGGCATTTTATTGCGAAGGATTCTCATTAGGATGAGCTCGCGCCACATGACTAATAAATTTCAGACCGAGAAGAGTTCCTGCGAGAACAAACCAGATTGTATAAGACTCTCCTAGAAAACTACAACCATCGTCTTCCACCTGTAACAACTGCTGGTATCTCCTTTGCATTACGTTTAACAAATAACGAATACATACCCTCATTTTCAAAAAAAACGTGAAAAGTGTCTGGGGTGCAGAAAAAACACCACAACTGACGACGGCCTCCAAGTAAATCTGGTTAGAGTGGTTCATAGTGATAGCTGATTTTTAGGTAAATGATAGTTGTAATTAGTGACAACTGATAGAATACAACTGCAACAGGTTAATCATTTCATTGGCAGAAAACATTTACATTTTGTGGAGGCCGTCGTCACTTGTGGTGTATGGTCTGCACGACGCCCTTCTCGTTTTTTGAAAGGGAGTATGTGTAAGTAAGCAAGCATAAATTATAAACTAGGTGAAAAGGAGGTATTACTTTATCCTGTCACCAAACTTGCGAAGTTGGCTTTTTTTTTGATTCTCAATTGAGGCGCCAACGTGAATTATGGTGAAAAAATTTGGGAGCAAGCATGAAACACTCTAATTCGATCAGATCAGGCTTCTGAGAGTTGTGCCGCCTCGAATTCTGTTATTACATATGTACTTACATCTGGGATCGTAGTGGCATTTGAATGCATATTGGGCGCTCATGTCCAGGGGGGGCATCACAACAAAGCAGATGGTAGGTGATACGTGGACTAAGTTCCAGGAGATGGGAAAAACGCCAGGATAGAACACATTGCTCACATCTATCTCCAAGATCCCTTCCTTCCCGCGCCTAAGGGAACGGTACGCCAAAGCACAGCAGTTTCTCACAAACTTGAATGTCCCCCCCCCCCCACCGACATGAAGGGCGCCATATTGCAATGGCTTTCTGACAGCCCAGCCAATGTAACGTCAGTGTTTGCTCCTTACCAACTCTACCTGGTACGACCATCCAACCGGGGCGTGGGTGATGGTCCTTAGCTGATTCTTGCAGGTCGAATCCGAGAAGCCAGATTTGCCACAAACCTCTTTGAGTCATCCCCGTAATTTTCGTAACCACAAGAGTTATTGGGCCCCCTTGGCCGAAAGTACTTGCGGAAAGCACCCATCCCACAAGTCGGAAAATTTGACCTTTTTCACTGTCTTATTCTTGAAGTAGTTGTTCAGGTAACTTTTCGGAAGAATTCAGCCACATTCGATATGAAGCGAACGTCACTTTGGTTTTTGCGAAGCTGATTCGCATGGTGAGTCAGGGGCGGATTCATAATACCAACCTCAAACATAAAATTATGCGCATCGGCGCCGTGTTTCAGGTGGAAACCGAAGCGAAAGTGGACTTTTTGTTCGAATATCTGACGGTAGGTCATATGGAATTGCTTCTCAACTCATGTGACGATTCAGTATGTATGATTTGCCTGAGATACATTATGCTCAGAAACGCTACTTCATCACTTATAAGGTTATGGCTAATGATCCTAGAAGTGTTAAGGGTCGCGAATAAATGCTACTGAGTGAGTTGAACAATCATCCTGCTGCTCACCGATTGTCATTTTTTCAGGATTGGGTTGATGAACGTTTGAGGTGGTCGCCGGATGATTACTGTGGAATCACGCATCTTTATGTGGGCCTCGAAGATGTGTGGATTCCAGAGGTTTCCATAGTTGAGGCGTAAGTATTGAAATCTGTTGTTGAAGTACTTTCGAATACTTACTTTGTTGCAACGCTTGAGCTGAAATGCTTCAAGTTTCCTCTCTATTCGTCGTCCAGCGAGGTAAGGACAGCTGCAGTTCCAGCTCCGAACGTTGCTAGCAAGTAAACTCGGCGCATGTGATTCGGGAGGAACTAGTCGCAGCTACGGCGCGCGGCATGTTCGCACTCATCGCCCAACGAATATGTAGGCATGACTGGATCATGCTACTTTTCAGGCGTGTCTGGCCGTCCACCCCCCCCCCTGAGCAAGGCAGGGGACCAAGGGTGGGACATAACGGTGCGATTTTCGGCTCTTCGAAATAAGCGCACGAAGCTACATCGATGGCAAAAAAACTGTAGAAGTTAGTGCTAAATCTCCAACATAAGCGCCTGATTGAAACCATCTCTATCGCCCCTTACTTCCTTAAAAGATGATCCTCGAAGATGATCCCATCTGATTTGCACTTGTGCAGCTCATTCCTCAAACTGTGGCATCCCCTAAGGGTTCACTAACACGCCTTAAAAAGGGCGCATTGTCACAAGGGCAGTCGGATATTTTCAAAATGTTGCGAACAATTATATAAAGAACCACTTTTGTAAATTTTTAGCCATTCATCACAGGACTTCCGCCACCGCCTATCAGACATTCGGTGTGGGTTCGTTCAAGTTTAAACTCACATTTTTTTGATAAACTTACGAAGTTATACGAAACTGCTCGATTGCTTTAGTTTCTAAGAAGCGCTGACGTTTCAAAAGAATTTAGAGGAAGTTGACTACCATTTCAAGGTTGAAACTTGCACGTGCCCTAAAAAAAACAGAATGGGGTGGTTGTTTGAGGGGCTTAATTGACAGATGGTTTTGGTGAAACTCCAGTTCGGGGGGGGGCACTCCATTGCTATCTTATCCGTAGTACTAGAGAGCAGTTCTTTGGGCTATCGAACACTACGGATAAGATAATAAGTGAACGACTCATTTCGAGCGTACTTTTGATAAGGACCGGTGGATGTCCTACATTCCACACTACCTGCCCACATCCCATCCACTTTTCTGCACAGGTGATCCACCCTGGAGCTCCTGCACCCTTAGCCCTTTGCGGAGGTGTCCTTTCTCCTGGTCCAGGACCGTTCCCTTGGGTCATGGCAGGCGGAAATGTGAAAACGTTCAGGGTTTCTCACCCATTACACCAATATTTATCAGAAGTCTACTTTAAATGAGTCGATTACGTGTCGTGAGCCCTCTAATCCTTATCTTGAGTATTGGAGAAAAAATGGAGTGGCCCCCCGAACTGGAGTTTCACCGTTGGGACATTTTTATGGGGAAAACTAATTTGGATATTATAAGTATTCTCACCACTCCTCATAGGTAGCAGCGCAGAGGCAAACATCGTGCCCCTCTAAGCCGTGCTCTCTGGGTGCTGTCCTGGTGGGGTGAACACCGCCGAAAGGGATGGTCTTAAACTTCAGAGGTAAGGGTCTCCATAACGGTTGATCCCGGCTGTCGTAATTCTTCGGCCGTATATGAACGTTGACCTAAGATTGCTCCCAGCGCCATTGCTGCAGTTCTGACACAGCGTATTCTGCCTTGGTAGGGATCGAACCCATAACACCTCATGAGTGTAACTATGTATGGAGTGTCAGTCTGTGAACCATTGGTTTTACACCCACCTATCGGAATAAACTTATTAGCCCTATGGGTTGTGGCTGTCCCAGACCTCACCAGGCCTAAGTTTTCCATTCACTTTGCTTCTGTCTACTCCATGCGCGAGGCTCCCGTAAGGATAGCTTCATCCTTGGTTGAGGCAAATCCATGCCTGAAGAAGGTGTTATACACCGAAATATCGCGGAAGTTTCCAAAGGAATTCTTTTAAAATTTTTTGGCTCGTTTTTGGAGTATTTGGACTTTTGTGAACTTTTGGAATTCTTTTGGAATAAAACTTTTGGAGCTTCTCTGTGTTTAACAAAATTTATTGGCCTTCATTGCACACCTACTTTTGTTTATTTTTGTAGTGTCCGTTTCCATTTCTTCTTTTTTTCAAAATAGTAAGTTCGAATATAATAGTTGTGACTCTTCTCTGATGCTTGTTCAGATTAACCATACTGGCGAACTCACAGCGTTTTTCCCTACGTTTCACTTCAACGGTATGCAAGCTTCAGGTGAGTAAACGTCCAAGGTTGGAACTTCTTCACTCGATTAAGAGTTCCCGATCCACTTGATTGGCAGACCTCCTATTTTCGTGGTATTCTATTTTCACCACTCCTCTTATCCATAGGCTCATTTTAGGGCATCGTTTAGTCTTTAGTCATTATTGAGTTTTTGTTTTCTATTTTTTTCTTGTTGTTGCTTTATAATTGTAAAATTATCTCACTCGGTCAACCTCTCCAGCCTAGTATTGCCACGGATCAGCGCGTTCACTACGCATAAATAAATAAATAAATAATATTCAGGTACAATGACTTTCCATTCGATGAACAGAATTGTTCCATCAACTTGATGCCGCAGTCGTTTTCACCCTACCGAATTGTTATGTAACAAGATTCAATCTGAATACTCCTGAATCAACTGGAAATAAATTGGTCTAGTTTCCCATACCGATCTATGCAAAATTATGAAGAAAAAACTGGACATATTTTCAGGGTAATGGGAGTGGGAAGTGTGAGCCGAACTTTCGATGATTCCACAGTCTTCAATACTGCGCCGAAGGACAGATTACGAACCTCGTAAGTTTATTCCGACGCTTTACGGTCATTTGCTATTGTCGACTTCTAAATCGGCACACAAGAGGTTTTACCAAATTTTCAACTCGCAATCGCTTTTTAGGAATAGGTCTTTGAATGAATGCAGCCTTTTCAGAGCTCAATTTAATGCGTTCGCTTACTGGATCGGTTCTGTTCCTAACAACAAGTCAAAGTTCCTGCGAACTAATTAGCGGGTTTTTCAACCCCCGACTAGGGTTCCTGCCTAACATCCGAATCCCACTTTAGGTTGAACTGCTTCCGGATGGCCACAATGAAGTCTCCTTTGGAAACTAGAAGACTACTAACGAAAAAAACTAGATGGCAAAAAAAAGTTTCTGAAGTTCTCAGACTGGTTAACCTACCCAAAAATCTTGCGAAACAGAGTGAAGGCAAAGTTCTCTAGGACGTTGGTGAGCTCCAAATATGAAACGAAGGGTGCGAGGAAAGGATGTGTAGAAGGAAAACCAAATGGAGAACTGAGAATAGATCCTTGTTCTGCGGTTCTTCTGGACGCTGTACGAGCTCATGCCGAGAAAGCATGCGCTCGATAGAGAGATTCTGGCAGCGAAAAGAGTAAAAGGATATGCATGAAAGGGACAAATGCGCTCTTTTTCGGATAACCAAAGGCGACAGATAGACCACACATCCACAAGTGACGACGGCCTTGAAGCAAATCGGCGGCCGTAAGGTAGAACAGGAGAGGGACCCCATCCTGTAGGGTAGGCTTATCCCCGAAAAATCTCGGAGAAAGGCAACGTCCGCCGGATCTGGGGGATATCTCCCCGATTGACATGCGATTGGGGAGACAACCCCTTCCCGAGAGCTTTCGGGAGAGCAAACCTTACCACGATAGGGTCCCTCTCTTATTCGGGTAAACATACCTTCTAGCCCTGGTAACTCGTCATTCATGGAGATAGGTGATAGCTGATAAATATAGCTGTGATTAGTGATAACTGATAGAATACAACCGCAACTGATAAGCCATTTTAATTACAAGATTTTACCTTTGTGGAGGCCGTTGTCATTACGCAGCGCTTATCTAATTTTGTGGCGTGGACCTGTGATGGGACCGGGACCGCCTCTAACTACTGCAGGACTCAAACACACGATCTTTTCGAAGTGCGATGGAGCAATCTCCAGAACCTCAAAAGGGTCGCGAACGTTGTTAGTTATGTGGTTTATTGAAAAAATAATTCCAGAGCAATTCACGTTTTCGCTGAAACGGAACTCTTCTTTCTACCTCTCAATGATTATTATTCCGTCATTCGTCATCAACGTGCTCTCTATAATGGGAGTTTTCCTGAAAAGCGCTGATAGTATGGGAAAAGTGAGTATTGACCAAGTCTTTCTGAAACTTGTGATTTCGAGAAGAAATTTTGTGGTTGCAAATGTTTGAAGGAGCGGTGCAAGTTCGTCCCATGTGAGAATTAACGTAGCACATCTAGCTTTCCGGGAAGTTATATGCTAATTACACCACCAGGTCATCGTTTTACCGTATCAAAGCTCTTAATGGTGTAATTGCCGTAGGTTAGCCGTAGTGATGAGCCAGTTGCTTGCTTACACAAAGAAGTGAAGCCCTAAGGAGATGTACGTCGTATTTGTCTTTCTCAAGTGTCGTCATTATACGAAGTTATACGATGGGCGAAGTGGTATGTGGCGAGCGGTCCGGGGATCAAATCCTGGGTCGTGAGTCGCCCGGGCCAACCAAGCCTTCCATCCCTCCGGGGTCGGTTAATTGGTACCAGACTTGTCTGGGAGGATAAAAACTGACTTGTACATCGGCTGGCCCCCGCAAGTCATTGTATAGCATTCAAACGCCACGAATGTACAAATGGAAGTAGAATGCGTGCCGCATCCCAAAAAGGGATTGATCAACGGCAAATGCTTTATCCTTTATCCTTTATGCTCACTAGCACAGGATAAATTCACGACTTTTGAAATAAGCCCATTAAAATAGAAAATTCTCAAAATAGTAATGCTGAAGGACCGAACCTAAGCCGTTGCGCTAATGTACTGCAAAAGGTGCAACCCAGTTTAGCTCAACTATAGCATATACAGTTCATTTACTGTTGATATAGCCGTTAAGCAATATATCTGTTTAGCTTGGAATGACTTTGACGAACATAATGTCACTAACGTTTGTGCTTGGAATCCTTGCCACTTCATTACCGAAAACCGAGCGGTTACCCAGGATTGGTAAGTACCTCAAAATTTTTAACGAATGTGTAGCTCGGGCTTTCTAATCTAGATTGGACACTTGGCCAGATGCTTTGATAAGGGGAAAAGAAGGCGAACAGCTGCCTGTGGTGGGTCGCTAAGCACTGATGGGATGGCTCCTAGCGTGCGTGTGGCGAGAGCACAGGCTTAGCAAAACTTCCAAGGAAATTGAAGGCATTCTCTGTAGGGAGTGGGTACTGAGGCTTGAAAATGAACGCGGAGTTGCGAGTTAGACGGCTTGAGTAGAGGTAAGGAAAATAAATGACAAAAAGCTGGGGATAGAAGCTTCGCTTTCAAAGGAATGAGCAACTGAGCTGCTGGCGAAACGCATACGAAAGAGCAGAGGGACGTGCGAGACGCAGGTGCTGTATTCGCGATGGTGGGCGGCTCAAGCATTGCAAGGTGGCTAAACGACTGAGTAACGAGCTCCTGGTTCCGTTGCCGCGCACTCCCCAATTGCAAGGACGCCACATCTTTTGCCTTTGTTGATAATTTACTCACATAAGGGATGATCTACCTGTTTATCGTGGAATGCCCCTTTGAGCCGCCTGAACCAGTGCTACTACATACAATCGTTTTTTGCAGGTATTTATATTGTTATAAATCTGAGCATCATGGTGACGGCGTTGTTCATCATACTTATTCTACCACGCATCAGGCGTACGATAATCACTTATCTTGGAATAGGTGAAGATTGCAAAGGAGAGAAGAAGTTAGTCGATTATCTCGAGGCGAAATGGTCGCTGAGCAGCGCAGTGCTGGATATGTACATGGACTGTTTTTAATGTTAACTTTAACTCTTCAGGAAACGAAAAGAGGAAACTGCGTACACACTACTGAATTTTGTTCTTTTCGGATTGCTGGAGCTCGGGAATCTCGTGAACTTTCTTGTGCTTGTTGTTCAATAAAGTCGCATAATTTTGTTCTGTTTTATTATTCAGGAGAGAGCTTACAAAATCAAGGCAGAGCCGTGACTTTAGTGGTTCATGCTAGCGCTGGCGCTTCTTGGATTAATGCCAACATTTGATCGCGAGCTTTTTTTGATATTTGGGAGGACGAACTGTTCAACGTTCGCTCCATTGGCAAATTTTCTTCATATGAATCTCGCTTGCACAAAGAAGTACTACCATTTCATCAAATGGCAGTTTTTGGCTGTCTCAAAGGATCTCTTACCCTTCTCTAAAAGTACTGCTATGGGGTATAGTCAGTTATAATTGAAGCTGCCTGTATTGCGATTATGATTAACCTTATTACGTTTTTTTTTCTGAAGGTGCCAGCGATTCTGGAATACTGGATCTTCATAAAAATTCTTCCTTTGATATGTAATAGTAAAATATTTAGGTGGTCAACATCTGAGAGCCAATTCCTCGTCGATGTTCTAGCTTTGAGCAGGAATAAGTATTGACAATGCTTTAACACAAGTTATAGGTCGTCTCTGATGACAGATAAAAAGCAGCGATTACGATAGGTCCTACAGGGGTTTACAGGGGGCGTGGATCTGCTCAATTGTACGCCATTGTCGAAAAAAGCAGAGAAATGCGCCAAGAACGCG